CACTAGAAATGTCATAGATAAGAATAAGAGCAATAACCATACACTTTGAAGGCATTTGCGGTCTGAAAACAGAACTCAACTATCCCTTTAATGTTATTAGCTTCAAGAAAGAGGTATAAAAGACCCAGCTCCGCTAAAACGGAAGTTGTTTTTACTCGCACTCAGTTAACTGTAACTTTTATCATACATTGTAGACACACCTGCAGTGCACCTCAACCGTACGGCAATATACATGGCGATGGCCTGTACACTTAGTGGCGTACGCAGGATTTTGTAAGAGGGGTGAGAGGACACTATTTTTTTTTTTTTGGTCTAGAAATTTAAAAATTTGACATTTTGTTCCGTTGGGGGGGGGGGGGTAAGGTCACCTTTTTTAGGTCAGCCATTGGCAGCCATTGGCATAAAAACTCAAAAACAACAACAACAAAAACATACACACCAAAAAAACTCAAGGGGGGTTTAACCCCCCCCCCCCCCCCCCCCCTGCGTACGCGCCTGTGTACACTGCAACTGAAGAAGAAGAAGAAGAACATTGATTTCCCAGATCAGAACTTCCTATTCGATTCGGACCTGTAGATAGCGCTCTTCAATTTCCCGCTGTGACATCGGCACGAGTTGAATTTTCAGGATGCGACAATGTACGAAACGGGAAAGTGAACGACAAAAAAGGGGGGTGTTTGGATCTGTTGGATGGATGAGGGGGGTCCTCCGATCCCAGACACACCACTGGTAAGCTTATAGGAGATATGATGAGTTTGATCTTACCAGATGAAATCTGATTTGCAATTCAAAAAGATTATTAGGGAGATGATAGGGGAGTACATGAGTCGATCGTGACAATTTATTTCCATGTTGCCCAAGTTTCTCCCTCATTAGGCTCTTCTCTATCTCTCTTTCTCTCTCTCTCTCTCTCTCTCTCTCTCTCTCTCGTTCTATCCCCCCCCCCCCCCCCTCTCTCTCTCTCTCTCTCTCGTTCTATCTCTCTCTCTCTATCTATCCCACTCCTTCTCTCCTTTCTCCTAATTTTCCTATTTATGTCGGCACAGGGAAGAAGGCAGAAAGATCGACACTCCACCGAGTGAGGGTGTGCGTTACATCCATTGAAAAGCCCATACAGTTTCCAGCAGTGAATTGTGTTTTCATGTGTCCAATAGCACCATTACAAAACCGTTGCGTTTGCGGGGGAAGTCGACCCGGGGAGGGATGGGGGGGGGGGGTTGAGTCATATCCTTTTCCTTACCATCTCTGTATAGTAAAGTAGGAATGTTGTTTTAAAGCAGTGCGCCCCTTTAAAACGCTCAGTTGTGAATAATTATGTGCAGGTGTTTGTAGCTATAGGCGCATAGGTATACCCCCCCCCAAAAAAAAAAAAAAAAAAATAATAATAATAATAATAATAATAAATAAAAAAATAAATAAATAAATAAATTTAAAAAAAAAAAAAAAATGTTGTAATTAGATACCATTATTCGTGCTAACGCAGTAGAGTCCACTATTTTATCTTTGTTGTTAATTATCAACTCAAGTATATAAGTATATTTATAACTCCTACATGAGCTAGTGGACGAATTTATAACCCTTTTTTAATAAATAGGAATGGCATTCTTCTACGACGTACATTGTTCTTCACATTAACGTCAATATTAGTCACTTTAACACGCAAAGGAAGACATTCACTGATACCAAATGGTGCTGTTCATGTATTTGAACCTTTTAAATGTTATGCAATCTAGCCAATTGTAGTAAACATGCCTTGCTGTAAATAACATCTATTAATCCATCAGACCAAAAGGTACTTGAAAAAGAAAGAGTCCCATGTTGGTTTTACGAAAACTTCACCCTGATAGGCCAAATACACTTTATATCTTGTCGACACGCTGATTTCAATTCATTTCTTAATTTTGGGTTTTCAAGTAAGGCCGACCGATATCCAGGAAACGTCATTTTAAAAACACGTTCTAAGCACTATTAAATGAATAACCATTGATTATATGTGCTTTAATCAGTCAAAATAACCAAGTTCAATGAATGTCTGAAAAGACGATTACTTGGCGTGCGTATTACACCCGCATACCAGAGCAACCCCTCTTTGAAGAACTAAACCACTGTATAATAAAGAGAAACAGATAAGGTCAATGCAATTTACGTTACAATGACACTCTGAAAAGAAGTCTTAGTAACTACAGCATCAATTCCCAGACTTGTGATGTGACTCGGCTGACAGATCCCAATGGAGACAAGCCACGATAAAGGGTACAGCCAGCTTCGAATCCAAGATGCACCATGCAAGCTCGAGATGTCAAACGAGAAATAAGACCAGAGGAACAACAGCAGCACAAACCCCAAACTTTGCCTGCCTAACCTGTGGACCTCTCTGCAAGTCTAAAATTGACATTTTTAGCCATCATAGGACACACAGGAGACTCTGCAACCAACTGTAGTAGTAGCTAGACATCCTTAAAATCGAGGCACTAATCATTTTCATGGCATGAGAAGGAGACTATCCAAATCTTCTTAGTAATTAAAATACATTTCGTATCATCGACTAAAAGGGCAACAGAGACCTTTAACAAAAAACACATATATATATAAATAATATATATATATATAAAAGACTTTATTTTACAACCCTGTAGCAAACACTAGAAAACAATTGTACAAATTATAGGCTCCAAATCTTACTATTAAAATTCAAAGGCAAAAATGAATGAGAAAACAATGATTAAAATCAATGTAATGATTTGTTAATGATTGAGAAGATCGCGATAAAATCGTAATTTACATGAAATATTTAAAAATGAAATTTAACAAGTGTGTGAACATGCATTTTTTTAACAAATAAAATTGCAAGGCTTAAAAGATTAGAACCTACGTTGCCCACTAAGGCAAATATTTTTTTTTAATTATAGAAGGCAGATGAATTTCATTTACTATGGAGGGGGGTTTCACACAACCTTTAGCAACATCAAGATCAAGTTCAAGTTCAAGTTCAAGTTTTTAATCATCTTTCTTTCATAAAACACTACACATATGACATGAATGTAACAACTTAACAGAATATGGCTTTACAATAGAAAGATGAGGTGACCTTGATTGAAAGCAAGGCTTGTGGAATTAAGGTCCCTCGTGAGTAACTTATGAGTATGTCCTTAATTAACAAACTCGTCAGATAAGAATACTACATACATTAAAATGCCTACAAACTAAACTAACTAAAGAACTGAGAAAAATATTAACATAAATAAGTATAATAAAATTTACTGACTACTCAAAAGTGGCTATAAACAAGAGAAGCAACATAAAACCTTGAACGCGATATAATGCTAAACTTTCCCCCATGAAAAAATAGAAGAAGAAGAAAGAAAAACAAAAAACATAATAAAACGAAGTATTAGATTAAACGCTAAAATGAAATAAAATATATCATTACATTATTTATAACGAAGCACTAAACAAATTTAATCGACGACAAAATAGAGTGACGCGAAAATTTGGGGAACTCTTTGAAAAAACTGTGAAGCAGGTAAATCGAATAAAACGCAAAATATGTTTATCCAATAAAAAACTGTTTTGTTTCTGAAACACTGCACTTCAAAAGAAATATCAAGTTAATCAAATAGTGGCCTACAACTTAAAATGTTTCATATCAAATAGACTACAGCAGCGAAAACGAAACATTACATGTCCGAATATAGTGTGGAACGCAAAATGTATCAATTAATAAATCGGTTTGGATTGTACATAACAAAAAGATAAACCTAATAAAAATCGTAAAATACCTTTTTTTATCAATAAATTTATTTAGCCCTAAGGATTCTGAGATTTCACCAAGGAAATAGATTTAGTTCATATACTTTTCATATTATTTTCTTCAGAATTATACCTCAACCATATTATACAATTCCAATATGCAAACATTACTTCACATTATTTCGCATTTTTTCTGCCAAATGACCCGTAAAGATAAGTAGGGGTTTTGGAGATCAATGCCACGTACTCCCATCCAAACTAAGCCCGACTTCATTCTAGGAACTACAACATTTAAATTACCGTTTAAAAGGGAAGAGGAGTAACCAGTTTTTCAAAATGTCAGATTAAAACTTGTTACACGCTAGATTCTGCCTTTATAGTGTTGTATCCGGCATGTTCAAAGTCGTTAAAAGTTGATAAACATGGCCTTAGAGTGTTCCCACCCCCTCCCTCCCTCCCAACGGGATACAGATTTTTCCCTCGCATTTCGTCCCCTCCCCCCCCCCCCCCGATCATGAAAAGAAATCGCCGCCCATGGTTCAACTTGTCACTATTGCACGCAATGATTAAAGGGGAATCCAACCCAAATAGACAACTACTCTAAAATAAAGCAGAACAATCAGAGAATCAAACTGATGAAAGTTTAAATTAAATCTGACTAAAAATATAAGAATATATCAGACTACTTTCATATCTGTTCCAACATATAAAATGACTAAAATTTAAATTGTTTAAAAATTCGTTGCTCAGGAGATTTCATTCTTTTTAGAGGACCTATAGTAATATGCTATCTAAAATATTTTTTGAGTAGTGCCCCAAAGGAGAAGGTAATGACAAGAAAAACAGAAATTGATGATAATTTATCCACTGACCGAACTACCAATTTGAGTGATTTCATATTTCAAACATTTATAACTTCCATACTGTTGGTCCGATTCATTTTGCCATTCTGTTTCTGTTATCTGTATGCTTTCATGCAAATCAACTTATTTTATACGAGGTTGTATTGCCCTTTAATCTAATCTGGGGTTGCGCGTTGGCTCAGGGGTAGGACAGTATTCTCTTAACCGGGAGTTCCCTGCATGCCCGGGTTTGAAACCAAGTCGATGATGGCGAGCTGTTCGGGAGGAGAGGGAGCTTGAGACCCCCCCCCCCCCCCCTAAGAAAAATAATTTTAAAAATAATAATAATAGTAATAACAATAGTTATAATAACAATAATAATAATAATAATAATACTAATGATTCGTGCTCTACCTCCTAAATTTTCCCCGAGGTATGTGTAAAAAAACCGGAAGAACCTAACGATGCGCTATAGTGCCCTTCGGTAAGACATCAATTCTCTTCTGAAAGCCGCCTTTCCCCTAGTTGCTTACTTACAAGCATACATATGATTTCTTAGCCTTCAGGTAAAATAAACAAACAAATAATCAAAAATCCCTCAAAAACGAATAGATGGGGGACGGGGATCAGAGTTCCCCCTTCCGTCCGCCAGGTCCTGTAGCTGTATCATGTGACCCATCCACAAGACCGTCTGATGGCTCTCCATCTTGAACAGCGCCCTCCCGTTGTGCTTTGGCTTTTTCTGAATCTGCGTTTGACGTCTCTGAAGAAGCAATATTGATATCATCACTGAATGACTGTGTGCCGGTCGAAGAATCCACAGTGGATGCGTCTGTTTTTATTTTATCGCTTTCTACTGCGTGCTTCGCGAAAAAAATCTGATGAAACTCCATTTGCCTGCAAACGCAAATTTAATAAATACGTTATAGTTTGCTGTGATTAATAACATTTGATGATGACGATGATGATGATGACGATGATTAATATATTGCAGTTTCATTAAGACGAGGTAGTGTCATTTCAAGTCAATTACTGTACCTGCTTCCAGTGGCGATTCTCGAGTTTTTTGGGGTGAGAGGAAGCTTGAACCCCCCCCCCCCCCCCCCCGAAAAAAAATCTTCGAGCTCTACCTCCCCTTATTTTGACCGAGGTATGTGTAAAAACTTAATGGAAGAACCTAAACCTCTCAAATAAAAAGAATACAGTAGGTGCTGACGACTGCAAACAATGGAATGCAAATTTAAGTCAATAATAGTTATCCTCCCAAAAATTCGTGAAAATTAGGGGGAAAATGAACTTCTTTCAAAATGTGCAAGGATTATGGATGTTATTTCTGGCAAACAAACCTCATATTCTATGATAGGGTTCCCGTTCGGTGTCTTGATGATTTCAGGCATCCCAAAAGTGCCCTCGATTTTTCAGAAAAATGGCAATAAATAGATTTTTGGGTCATTATTCCAAATATATTCATACAATAGGTGCTGACGTCTAAAAACAATGGTTATGTTTTTCGAAAAACCTAAAGTTCTTTATTAGGGTTTATGTTTCGAATTGAGGCGTTTTTGGACAAAACAAGAAGCGTGTTCAATCAAAATGGCAATAACATGGATTTCTCCGCAATCGTTTTGACATACCGGGTCACGATTTAAGATATCGAAAGTAAACAGGTGGGACTGCACTTGATGTCCTCCCTGAATTTCGCACAAAAACTCGAAATATGACATTTTGCACAAACCCACACGCACGCACACACATACACACACACGCGTGCGCGCACACCTCATGCACATCGATTTGTTGGAAGCCTGAACAATAATTATATAGGGGGATCATCGTTGATATACCAGACGCGCAAGGTAAGGGAATGAATTGGAATACTAACTGACTGTATACGTCATCTACAGCTATCCAGTTGTTCGCTATCCACTTGACTCCACGCATTACTTTACATCCACCATGTAGAGAATATTTATCCTGTGCCCCTAGCCAACCTGAAAATATCATATACATAAAATAAGAGAAGTTATATGATGCTGTGCGACGGGAGAAGATTTCCAGGAAGTGATGCACAAGACAGAATTTAGAATTCCGTTCACACGTTTTAGTCAAGCAATGTTTCTCCAATTGGCCATTAATTTACTAGGTAGGAAATTCTTTCTCGAGGGGTTTTGATTCTTTTGCCATTTTTGTGAGGAATATCGTTTTCAAAATGTGCTACTTTTGCAACCGTAGTCCTGATTAAAGCAGCGAGAAATTTGCGCCTAACGGCTTTCCATACAATCAGCTGTACTGACAAGAGGGTTCGCCACTCCCTTCAATGTCAAAATGCCCCCTAGAGCACTTAGAGCCATGTTCTAAATATGTGTAACTACATGAACATTTAGCAGTTCCCTTCCTAAAATTGTACGACAGAAATACCCACTAGCGTACTGATGGGGGGGGAGTCGACCCCCAAATAGATTTAGGAGGGGGAGGGGGGAACTGCGCCTCCAATTTTAAGATACCTCCAAAAAAATTACATAGGACAAGTGCCCCTTTTCTTTTCTAATAACTGTCCTCTCCCTCTCTTTTCATCTCTGATGACTACGTCTTTTCAGGTGCGAGAAATTCCCCTTTTTACCTCTGATATTTTTCCCCTTTTTTAATTGACTCGTACCTCTTTTCCTTTTTAATTAGTGTACTTTTTCCTTCCTAATAATAACCCCCTTCACTTTCTCTTAAATGCCACTTTCCAACTCTGATAAGAGCCTCTTTCATTTTGACACATGCCCTTTTTCCTCTCTAATAAGTGCCATATTTCCTTCGGATAAGTGCCCCTTTTCCTTTTTCATATGAGCCCCTCCCTCTTTTCAAAATGCCCCTTTTAACATCGGATAAAATGCACCTATTAAAATCTGATAGCTATCCTTTCCCTTCAACAGATTCCCCATTTCCATTCTCACATGTGCCTTTTTTTCATCTCTGTTCCCTTTAAGGTGCAAGAAGGGCCAATTTTATCTCTGATAATTCGTTGCCTTTTTACTTTGATACGAGCACCTACTCTTTTCTAATAACTGTCCTTTTCCCTTTTGATAAATGCCTACTTTCCTTTTCCCATAACACGCACTCTTAATTTAAGACGATTTAGAGCCGCTGTTTCTTTAATTCTTTCTAGAGCTCGCATTTACAGATGTTGTAATTTTGTTACTTATTAAAGAACTTTTCAGTCTTTCTTCATTATATTGTGCTTAATACTTATCAGGGTTTGTTTTTTGTCTTCTTTATAAGATGTAATTTTTCGCACTGTGACCTCACAAATCTTAAAATGTTTGCTCGCTCGCTCGAAAATTAATATAAAGACCATAACACCCAACTGCAAAGTATGTTGCTTAATTAAGCAGTATCTTATACCACGTAAAGAAAAACAAATATTGATATCAATACTGCTCGTGTAATCCAGGGGCGGCGATTTCTTTTCATGACTCTTACATGTTACGCAGGCCCTGGGAACTTTTTTCAAAGTGGGGGGGGGGGGGGCGCTAAAGTATTTACGATCAGGTAGAGCAAAGCAAAGCAAAGTTGAGCTTAAATTGGCTCGGGGTCGAGGGGCAAAGCCCCCGCGGATGTCAAGGGGCGGAGTTTTTTGTCTTCTTTATAAGATGTAATTTTTCGCACTGTGACCTCAAATCTTAAAATGTTTGCTCGCTCGCTCGAAAATTAATATAAAGACCATAACACCCAACTGCAAAGTATGTTGCTTAATTAAGCAGTATCTTATACCACGTAAAGAAAAACAAATATTGATATCAATACTGCTCGTGTAATCCAGGGGCGGCGATTTCTTTTCATGACTCTTACATGTTACGCAGGCCCTGGGAACTTTTTTCAAAGTGGGGGGGGGGGGCGCTAAAGTATTTACGATCAGGTAGAGCAAAGCAAAGCAAAGTTGAGCTTAAATTGGCTCGGGGTCGAGGGGCAAAGCCCCCGCGGATGTCAAGGGGCGGAGCCTCATGAAGCTCAGCGGTTTAGGCATTTATTAAGGTCAGATAAGCATCCTGGGGGCGGAGCCCTGAAGCCCCCGGAAGCTCAGGTGGTTTAGGCATTTAATTACGGTCAGATGAGCATATTTAGATACCTTATTTGTGGCACTGGCATGTAGGTCACTTATTGGAGTGGAGTCCATGGGGCGGAGCCCCCAGAAGCTCGGGGGTTTTAAGCATTAAATTACGATCAGATGAGCCTCCAGGGGCCGCCCTCGGGCCTTTAGTGGGGTCCAGGGGGCAGAGCCCCTGGAAGCTTAGGCGTTTTAGGCGTTAATAACGGTCAAATGAGCAACCAGGGGCCGCGGCCTTAAGGCCCGTGGTGGGGTCCAAGGGGCAGAGCCCCGGAAGCTCTGGGAAAAATCATTCCATTTCAACAACATTTGTAAATCAAATCGAATCGAACTGGTATCGAATTAGAAATAAACCACGTTTGAATTTCATTTAGGGGGAACTGGCCCCAAAGCCCCCCCCCCCCCCCCCCCACCGGAACGCAAGAGCGAGGGAGCATGGTGAATGAGAGGGGTGAAGGTGACGGAAGTGACTACCCCCTCACAGGTTTTTGAAGTTTTTTTTGTAATAAAAAATGACATTCCTTAGCAAAACTATAGTATAAAAACAAGCAATCTACCTTTGTCACACTTTAATTTTCTCGGTTTTTACTTGTAAATTTTGAAGGATATTATGCAAGGGAGCGTAGCTACCGAGTGAGAAGATTTTTGCATTTTTATGTGTCTAAACACTGCACTCTTGGGCCCTCAAGAGCCTAAAAGTGTGTTGCAGTCTTTAGTCAGTATTTGCTATACATTTTTGGGGGGCACTTTTTCAAATTTTGAGGGGGGACGATCCTCTCCCCCCCCCTAAAAAACTGAGGGGCGACGTGTTATCCCCCCCCCCGTCCCCCCCCCCCCCCCGGGATCGCCGCCCCTGGTGTAATCACAATCATGACGAAGACGCTCCGTCGCCCCTGCATTATGCTAATTGGTGGTGATGCGGATTTGATGAGTTCTGACCCCAACAAAGTTTTCGCTCATTACGCCACTGGAAATACCTGTTTCCGGATCGACTAGGTGATTATACCACATGACAGTCTTGCCCTTGGCAGGGTGTATTACCATATTGGCATCATGGCAATGGTTCTTCAGATCTGTCGTGGTTGGCTCATTTTCAATAGCAACCTAAATGAATTAAAAACGTTAGAAAGTTTTACTAGTGAATCATTAATGTCAATTGCATCAAGTACATGTCAAGCACTTTCTGACGTGTCTCATCATAAGTATAATATGTTCTTATATGTTTTGGGGGATTTAACTCTGCTACAAATCAAAACTAATAGAAAACTCAAAAGAGGAATGTACAAGAAAAAGGGTATACTTCAACCTTAAGTGGTTGCAAAAATACATGCTAGTTAATATGTAAAAAGCTGTCTTCAGTCAATAAAATGAAAGATTTCAGGAGTTGCAGGGGTTTATCCAAAGCCGAAGAGAGGCTTATCCTGATTTTAGAAAAAAAACTACGTATCACTCAAACGACTTCACGATCACGATGCTTTAATTCCGCAACTCTAATCAAAAGCAACTGGGCACATTATGATGCACAAGAGGGGTCTAGAAACGGCATCTAGCCTCTACATAATTGCAGATGCAAGTTCTTGATGCATGAACATCAGAGCATGGTGTGAAGTTTCGGATTTGATGTTCATGGGTTTTGTTTCGTTATAAACTTGTAGCTAATTCCAATTTCACAATGATCTGAACTACTAAAGGAGTTGCATTAAATTTTCTTTCAGAAAAATGTTTAATAGATTTGTGGCAGTTGATATTAATAGTTAAGTTTTATGACACAGGACCCTTAGCCCCGTCTCATTAACAGTTGATATCAATTATTTAGTTGATATCAATTGCAAATATGCACAAAAGAGATAGGAGACTGCAAACTTGCGATTGATTCGGATTGATTTGGATTGATTCGGATTGATTTGGATTGATTCGGATTGATTCGGATCAATCGCAACTCTTTATATTAAAGACGGGCCCAGGTCTTTACCTCAGCGCTGTATGTTGCATTATCAGCATATGGAAATGCTGTCTCACCCCCTTCCTCGACGTCATTCAAATATGTCATGATGGTGATGTACCTACAAATAAGGTATTGAAGTTAGTTCAAATTCAATCTAGGACCAAATACCTATGACAAGACATATCGTATATATACTTATCTTAAGCACTCTCATTTTGGTCATATTAGAAAACTAATTATTATACTGTTATCTGTTCTACTAAGAGTAGCTACCATATTTAAATAATCCATCGTCATCATGTATGTTCCTCTGATTTTCCGATATTTAACTAAAATTTATCTCATTTGAAAACTATATTAGCATTGTACATTGAAAAAAGCGTTTGACTGACACCTTTTCCAGCAAGCGATACCACCAGAGGTCATATTTACATGTTTACACTACAATTGACATTTAAAAAAGACTTTAGTTTTGGCAAGGGTAAAGTATTTGTAATCATATCAGTGATGAGTGTTTCCACGATATGTTTGCAAACAAGCATACCGTGATGTGTTTTACATGTGTAGTACATTAGGCAACACAAGGGAGCACACTGTACAATATATTTCCAACTTGGCAGACAGTGATGACAAACTGCCATACACGAGCCCCTGTACGACTGTGACAGATGAGTGTCTTTTGAAGGTTAACAGTAGGTATAGCACACCAACAATAATTACAACAAACACATGTTATTTGATGGTTGCAAATGATCAAGCTTTATGAAAGCTTCAAAAAACAAAAAACAGAATTGAAATCGGTCAATGCGTTGTGATTTTATACCATTTTTTTGATATCGCAAAATTACCGAAAAACCTGCCAGAAATGGTCAAATTATCAAAAATGACATAATTCGACAAAGTTGACAACTTAATTTATCATTTTCTTGGACACAAATAATAAATTAAATTATCAGACACTAAAATATCATCTTTTTGGTAAAAAATACAACAACAAAATTCATATATCTATTACCGTTTTGAAAACAGAAGCCAACAAAATAAGTCATTTTTGCCATTTTTGCGAATCTGCAGATATAAAAAAGTTGTGAAAATAACTAAGTCCGCCTAAGTAATATGCGCATATGTAATCAAATCAAAACCGAACATGATACATCAGTGAAACCTATGTATATCAGACAGGTATGGAGATATATTTTATTTGTAATAAAATAAAATCATGAATATTCATCATATATGCAAATTAGGTCATTTCAGCTAATTATATATTCGCACACTCATTATGCAAGTTAGGAAAGTCAAACTGTTCATTTTGGGGCATTTTTTAAATCATATATTCATAGATCATATTTACACCAAATATTGACCTTAAACTCCTAATATTTTTGCAATGGATACTTGGATCACCGTCACAGCTATTTCCTCATATGTTTCACAAATAATTCAGAAAAACCGATCAAATGATAAGAATTTGTAGACTTTCAGCTACATCACAGCGTATCTGCCTTTTTCAAAGATGTCAGATTTGAGGATTTATGACGATTTTCCGAGTTACCATTTAACAGGCCATAACATTCCACAGGGACTGAATTTTAGAGTAGCAGAAACTTTAGTGACCCCAGTGCAGTTGTGGCTACCTTGAGTGTAAATAACAAATTAATTCAATGAGTGAAACACATGAGGATATTGCATTTTTGTAGGGGAGTTTTATACATTGAGGTGCATTTTTTTCACCACACAGAATAGCAGCGCGAGTCAATGGGCGATCAGCGGGCCATGTCACACATGGCTGAAAAGACAATATTCTAATTCAATAATTAACATATTTCCCACATGCCTATAACAATGAAACTACACAGAATTGTAGTTAAAGGTATGCTTGAAATATATGTGGAAAAAATTCAAAAATATTGTTGTTTTTTTTTTAATACATTTACAAAAATTGCTATTTCTACCAACTGACTGCTGTAGTGTGTGTGTGTTCGCGGGGCAGTCTGTTTGCACAGGCAGTGTGATCACCCTATTAATAGAGTAATCTATCTTAAAATACTATAGGTGGATTGAGGGAAAGGGGATGGGTGAAACGGTCGTGGCGAGAAAGATAAACATTGATGAGAAACAATCAAAGTAGGGTGTTTTTTTTACTTGGGGGGGGGTGGTAGTGGTATGTGGTTTGTACCTGCATATCCTCCCTTTAGGATGGGTATGACTGACGTTCTGTAAGGTCATCATGCTCTGGATGCAGCTCGTCCTAGGGTCGATTTCCACGGAGTCGTAGTGGGCGTGGTAATATCCACCAGGGTAATAGCGTGCAACCTGCTCTTGATTAATCAGAACAGTGGCTTTAAAGGGTAACAGTTTACAAATATTGACTGCTCATGAGGATGCTTTGGTGAAAATTATCATTCCCAAGGTGGTGTTCATACGGCCCTTCTATCACTCTCGAGGAGGAGCCGAGGGGTGATAGAAGGGCCGGTATGAACACCACTGAGGGAGTGATAATTTCCACCACCATCCGATTACAGAGCAGTCCAGATTTGTTTGATACACCTCATCCTTTTCGTTGATTCGGAAATGAAAGGAAATACAACTAGTCTATGTAACATATTTACAGTCTTTCGAAGTTCAAATGTTTCAAATATCCAACGCTAAAAGAAATCCAACATACAAGTACTATACAAGTACTGCAATAGGGTAGTGCAGTGACTGCTGCTCAGCGTAAATTGCACGGCGTGAGCGCCGTGACTCCTAGGGAGTTGCCCGCTGGAGGCATTTGAAATCCCGTACGCGCTGTATGTGCAAAAGTCGTGGAGGGATTACGCGTTCTATCACAGGTTTTTTTTTTTTTTTACCTTAGGTCAATTGATAGAACACTAAAACCCTCTGAATCAATGATAGATCGAGATGTGCAATGTCATGTGATATAGTTTTGACCCATCAGTGAATATGAATCTATTTATGAGGTATATAATACGTATACGCTCTTACCTATCAGAATGGGGAATTAACAATTTGAATTCACATTTTGTTTAGGTACATATTCCCATTTTCCTTCTTGTTCGTATCTTTGCTTTTGTTTTACATTTGCTACAACATTTAGAATAAACATGACTTCGTGAAATATACGTGTACATATAATTATGTAAATGATACTGTTTTATATTGTACACTCTTTTTTAAAATGCAATGTATATCCATGTGCAATTCAGTATATTGACTGCAATGCATGATTTAATAAATACCATACCATACAAAAAACAGGGTAATAGAATATTCAATCTCTTCTTGACCAATCAAAATAGTATATATCCTACCATGTTTTTGGCTGTGATGTATTAATTTTGAGAAAGAAACCGTATGAGGAATCATTTATTCATTGATAAAGAATCTGAATAACAGCATGCCGTAACTTAATTAGGCATCAAATTCCGATGCTTATAAAATATGAATTTTGAGTTATCTTCTTGTTTCGTTGTGAGGTACATTTTGTTTTAAAAAACTAATGTAAAATATATGTAATAATCAACCTAAGCAACACTTATCGTGCATGTAGCCATAGTACCCTATCAAAAATATTGATACTTAACGTTCTACCATCAACTTCATAGTTACTAGACATATTTGTATATAAGTTCATCTTCGAAGAGAGTATTTAATCCGATATGTTTACTTATTATGAACAGTGTAAGTGAGTATAATTGGGTCCAATATTTCACATTAATTTGGGCTATGTATGACATAACTTGGCATGTCGGCAAATGGAGCTACAATATTTGGTAGTACATTTGATTTGAATTCAATGATTTAAGTATTTTCTTTCGGGAGATAATCATTTTGAGAAATATAAGCAACTTTTACCTGCATGCTTTCACTGGACCGCACAATGTCTGAATGGAGACCTGTTAATGCTGAAATTCTATAAAAGTAATAATAATGATGATGCTGATAATGATAACAATAACAATACTAATAACTACAATTTAAAACATTGATAATAATAATTATAACAAAATAATAATACTATTCATAATGATAATAATTGTAAATAGACAATGAAAAAATGATGACGTCACGTTCCTGATCTAAATATTCGGTACTGTATGGCTAGCCATTAGGGTCTAGCAACAGAAAAGCTTCATCTGCATCTTTCTTGTCAAATGACATTAGTGTCGGGCTGGGATTGGAACCCTCAACCTCGGGATTGAAAATGAATGAACCACATTAATACCACGAATCCTCCACGTAATTCGTCAGCTCGATATGGCCAATGACTAAAATCATCAATATAGGAAGGGGTTGTAAAACTTGCCACATCTTAATGACCAGAGTTTGTGACCTCCTAATTCAAATCTTTTCATCTTACCTGTATGGTAGCTCTCTCAAAAGCTGGTCATCTGACGTGATAAAAGGAAGCCAAGCTTGCTCGCTTATTCTATGTTGACCTTTGACTTTATCATCAGTGATAATTTCGCCAGCTTGCAGTCTCCCCAGCCACTGATCGACCTGGTCATCCAAGCTCCGGGTCATCATCGCCCAGAACTCGTTTAAGTCGAGGACGCCATTAGAGTCTGAATCCAGATCAAGATCCATCAAAAGCCTTCGTAATCGAGATTGAAGATTCAAAATTTATCTCACACCTCTCCAATAGACACAAATATAAAATCTTTGGACTAGATATAGACAATAAATTAAATTAATTAAATAAACCATGATATCATTTTCACAAAAATATTTGATGCACATTTGGGTATGCAATGCGAACATGACGTAAGTCAATCGAAAGGTCGATTTACACGTTTCTGTTTTTTTTTTTTTTTTTTTTTTAATATTCATTGTCTAGAAATTTCGCACTACTTACTGATTATAATAATAATACTAAAATAAATAATTATTATGATGATAATAAAAAATAATTCGATCTCAACCTAGATGAGATCACAACCGGGACGGGAATTAGTTCCTGCCAGGTTCTCATTAACTTCGAGTGTGGCAAATGTAGGTCAATTCTTGCCAAAGCACACTGTTTTTTTTTTATTTATTTTTATTTATTTATTCGTACGGGGTAGCCCATTCAACATCGGTTGGTCTCCCATGGGGCCCCTAAAAACATACATACATGAATGCAACACAATATGTTCAAATAAAATCATTCAAAGTACATACACAATAATGCCAAGTAAATAGTTTAAAAAGAGAATGTAAAAACATTGAAATATATCAAGGTGAATGTTTGCAATATAGAATAATCAAATATTTAAAGTACAATAACGAGTAACAGAAAATAAAGATATTTAAACAAATATGAAACAGACTATTGGTGAGTAACTCAGGCGCGGATCCAGGGCGGGCCGAGCGGGCCTTGCCCCCCCCCCCCCCCCACCCCCGCAAAAAAAAAGGGAGAGAGAGAAAGAAGGAAAAGAAGGGAAAGGGAAAGAGGAGAGAAAGGGAAAAAAGAAGAGGAAGAATAAAAGAAAAGAGGGAAGAAGGAGATCGGGGGGGGCGAAAGGACTTGCCTCCCAGGCTGTTGCCTCCCCCTCCTTCCCCCACCCCCCCCCCCCCCAATCAAAAAATAAAAGAGAAGGAAGGAAAGGGAAAGAAAAAAGAAAAAGAGGAGATAAAGGGAGGGACAAAAGAGGAAGAAGAAAAGAAAAGAAGGGGGATATCAGTTGCAATTTTCCCGCCAAGTTGTGGATCGGGGCGGGCGCAAAAGGCCCCGGAGGGGGGGGGGGCACTGGCGTACTGATAGGGGAGGGGGGAGGCTTTGGAGAAATAGAATTCAAACGTGGTTCATTTCTAATTCCATAACGGTGGTTTACAAATAATGCTGAAATGAGATAATTTTCCGAGATTTTTCCTCACTTTATGCGTTTGTTGGAAAATGACAAATTCCTAAATTTACAGCCAAGCAAGAAAATGCCTACATATCAGGGCCCGTGGAACGGCGGGGATCGGGATCCTCGAGCCCCCCCCCCCCCCACACACACATTCTTTGAAAAAGTATATTAAAGAGAAATAGAAAGAAATAGAGCGAGAAAGAAAAAATAGTTAACTGCCAGTGTCACATTATAATGGGTATCAAAATATGCCATCTGACCATGATTAAATTCCTAAAACCCCAAAGGCACTGCCCCCTGGATTCCACCTAGGGCCCTAAGGCGGGCCCTTAGATGCTCATCTGACGGTCATTTAATGCCCCTGATTTCAGGGGGCTTTGCCCCCTGGACCCCACGTCAAATAGTGTCCTGCCAGTGTCACAAATAATAAGATAACAAAAATGCTCATCTGACCGTAATTAAACGCCTAAAACCCCTGAGCTACCGGGGGCTCTGCCCCCTGGACCCAACCAAGAGCCCTTAGGCGGGCACCTTGATACTTATCTGACCGTAATTGAGTGTCTAAAACCCTTGAGATTCCGGGGCTCCGCCCCCTAAACCCCAAGCCAATTAGTGACCTGCCACTGTAACAATTAGGTATCAAAATAATGCTCATTTGACCGTAATTAAATGCCTAAAACTCCTGAACTGTAATTAAATGCCTAAAACTCCTGAACTTCCGGGGCTCTGCTCCCTGGACCCCGCCTATGGCCCTAAAGCGGACCCCTAAATGCTAATCTGACCGTAAATTAAAACCTTAAACCCCTGAGGTTCCGGGGCGGACAAGGTATCAACATATGTTCATCTGACCGCAGGCGCGTAGCCAGGGGGCGGTGGTGTGGTCCCCCCATTAGCGCCGGCCAAAAAAATAGAGGAGTGAAAAGGAAAAGGACGTAGGAAGAAAAGGGAATAGACAAAGAACATTTTTGAAATTCAGACAAGGATTAAGAGTCGAGAACGGTACAACGAATCGTCTTCTTTCTCTAATGATTTAATGAAACGTGAAAGCTTCCGCGCTTCGCGCGGGAGGGGGAAACTTAATTATTTTCGAGAGCGGTACAACAAATATTCTTCTTTCTCTAATAATTTAATGAAACGTCTAAGCTTCCGCGCTCGCGCGCGGGAGGGGGGGGGGGAACTGAATTTAGACAAGGATTGAAAGTCGAGAACGGTACAACGAATCGTCTTCTTTTTCTAATGATTTAATGAAACGTAGGGGGGAACTGAAATTAGACGAGGATTAAAAGTCATAACGGTACAACGAATCGTCTATTTTGCTAATGATTTAATGAAACGTAAAAGCTTCGCGCGGTGAGGGAGGGGGGGGGGAACTGAATTTAGACGAGGATTAAAAGTCATAACGGTTCAACGAATCGTCTTCTTTCTCTAATGATTTAATGAAATATCGAAGCTTACGCGCTTCGCACGGGAGGAGGAAACTGAATTTAGACAAGGATTAAGAGTCGAGAACGGTACAATGAATCGTCTTCTTTCTCTAATATTTTAATGAAACGTCAAAGCTTCCGTGCTTCGCGCGGGAGTCGGGAGGGGGGGGGAACTGAATTTAGACAAGGATTAAGAGTCGAGAACGGTACAACGAATCGTCTTCTTTCTCTAACGATTTAATGAAACGTAAAAGTTTTCGCTCTTCTCGCGGGATGGGGGAAACATAATTCAGACGAGGATTATTTTTGGGAATGGTACAACGAATCGTCTTCTTTCTCTAATAATTTATTGAAATGTCAAAGCTTCCGCACTTCGCGGAGGATGGGTGGAAACTCGCCCCTCCCTGCACCCACCCCCCCCCCCTAATTATGTCACTGCTGGTCACCATTACGGACTAATATTTGGCTCGCATAATTTCAAATTTGGGCCTCCCCCCCCCCCCCCTTAAGAAATCCTGGATCCGCGCCTGGAGTAACTAGGTGCCATAAAATCCCTTATACGTCCAATGACTTGAGATATTGTTTAAGATTAAATTTGAAAGATACTACAAAGGGCAACTCACGTATAATAACCGGCAAATTATTCGACAAATTTGGACATAGGTAATATAAAGAGTATTTGCAGTACTCAGTGCGGCATTTGGGAACGACAAGATCGTGTCTGGCGGCTTGCCTCGTATTTTTATCATGTTTTCTTCTTAACTCTTGGAAATAATTTGAGTAGTAATCAGGAGAGAGGCCTTGACAGCATTTATGAACAAATATATAACGGAAACAAGTTATTCGATATCTGAAAGGTATCCAATTCAGACTTGAGAACATTTCCTTAGATGGGCTATAAATATTACACCGAAGGATCAGACGGGCTGCCCTCTTTTGTAGTTTAGTAATTCGATCTACATGTATATTAAAACGATCTCCCCATATCTCACAGCAGTAATCTATCTGTGATTGAATGAGGCATGTATATAATAATTTTAGAGTATCATTTTCTACAAAAGGTCGAATTCTTTTTAACATCGCAAGACCGGCAAATATTTTTTTACATACTGAATCAACTTGTTCATGCCAAAATAAATGTTTATCTATTATTATCCCGAGACATTTAAAACTTGCACATTGATTGATTTCAACCCCATCGTAAGTGATGCGGATGCTGTCATTACTACAGGTACTAAGTTTTTGTTTACTCCCTATAATCATAATCTTTGTTTTACCTGTATTTAAATGCAACCTGTCGTTGCTTATCCATGTACCTATTGCATTCATTTCGTGTTGCAATTTATTTTCCAATTCACTGTTGCAGGGGCTTGAGACCTGCACCTTGTGATCCGTTGTCCGGTGAGTTAGTTATCCACTAGACCAAAACACCGCTACGTGTTTCTCGTGAAACACATATCAATTACCTTATAACTTGAGCCAGGCTCAGCTCCACGTCGCGATCCTTCAGTACAGGCAAGCATCTGTGCAACTCCTTGTAATCTATTGTCCTATCCTTGTTAAGATCGAAGGTGTTAAATGTCTGGTTCCATTCCGCTACGTTGTATACCAGCGTTAACCCATCCTCTGCGTAGAGGCCATACTTCACATTGAACACGGACGCGATGGTCAGACTGCGATGGAGTCCCTGGTCCTCACCAAGATTCATCAAATGATCGCACTCATCAGGGGTCAGCAGATTAAATATTTCTGTTTAAAAAAAAAAAATACATGTATATCTCAATTATCTTTGGCATACTTAAACTACAAAACTTGGTCACCTGATAGACATTCATATACCTCTTTTGAAATATGCATATCGTATAAACTCAATTACATTACATACATGGCCTTATACTCTGGCAACCTAAACATTCGGATCTCGTGGATCTCTCACCAATGAATGAACGGAAACTACACTATAAAATTTTTTACTCGCGTAAACAGTTTAAATTTATGTTTCTTGTATGACTGTTAATGGTGATGATAACAATAACAGAAAGTATGCCTAATCAAGCTTAGATAGAGTGATTATATTATAGGTTGAAATTGCAGGTTCATATAAAGATGTGAGCGTGTGACTGTTGGTGTTTTGGGGGGACTTGTTCTCATGTTCAATCATCCCCTATTTCAAAAAGTTCCCCCTCCCCCCTCCCCCTCCGGGAATCGTTTTTGGCAAAATCACCCATTTGTATTGTGTGAGTCATCGCGATATCATTTAGCTTCTAATACAATCCGTAATATATTTTATTCACATATTAATTCCTCAATTCATAGATTGTCTGGAACAATACTGCCTGACACCGACACCTTCGTGTAACCAACCCTTGATAATTTATGATGTTTAAATGATTTTCTTATCACCAGTAACAAAAAATTTTTGCATTTATCTTAATATTGATATAGTAACATACTATCAATTTTTCTTAATGATTGAAATATGATCCTTAACTACCATCGATGAATGTCTTTGTTAAAAAATTGTTTTGTGATCCTCTATTAATAATCTTATTGATTATTGTATAATGGAAATGAATATTCTCACTTAAAGGTAAAATGTCCCGTTTGCAGGCCAAAATAATAGTTTGAATTACAACGGCATTTGAAAGATAATACTGAAACAGAACTTCGCTCAAAACAAAAGAGCTTGAAATTGTTTTTTGTGGGAAAATAACGACCGTACGGTTTCGAATTCTCGCTACCCTAAATATGTACGAAAATCTCGAAATTCGCGAGACGAGGTAATTTTCACTCTCTCGGGTCGTCACTACAACTTCCGGTATAGAGTCCCATCCCGCTGGCGCTAGCGCTTGTGTTCGCTGTGCATGCAGAGTTTTCACGCACGCTAAAAGACCAAAATTATTCCAGAAAAAGTATTTGGGATAGCCTTTGGCATAACCATCTGGATCAATCTGCTCCTTATCGAAATGTCTCGAACAAAGCCGCGATTTTTTGGTCAAATTCACTTTGTCCTTGCGGCGAAAGAAGCGCAGCCATGTCGCTCGTGTTCCAGCTTCGGTGGGAAATTTCACCCAAGTCACGGCCTTCATCCACCCCCATTTTTCAGGGTTCTTACGCTTGGAATCATGAGCCCAGCACTGTGCAGCCTCACAAAAGAAAACCATCGTCACTGATGTCAAAAGACGCAAAAAACAACGAATGAAATGTTCAAATAAACGTTGAAATATTTGCGAAAAAAAAACAAGACCGAGCAGACGACATATTCGGTGCATACACGTTGTGTGGCGACGGCGTTTTACGTTTGCGCTATCGCGCCTAGTAATATAGCGCCTGCACAGGAAGCTGTAATGTCGAAAAGCTATCCCATAATGCAATGCGCGTTTTCAGGATTTTCCCCGGATCTCGGCAGAATCGCTATTTGGGGTAGCGAGAATTGAATTTAGCGATAGCAGACGTTTAATTTAATAGTCTGATTTCCAGACCCTTGTACCGAGTGGTCGTATGTTTTGTGTTGCGCAAATATTCAATCAGTTAATTTTGGCCAATACAAGAAGTGGGTTATTGATGTAGACAAAAATGCTCATGTACCCATTACAGCTCATTTTATGTATGTTATTACCGTAGAAAAAAAGAAGTCGGTCAGTCACTCAATAGTGTCTTACAGTGAAGTCTAGAAAGTAAACAGGTTTCCCTGCATAATTTTGATACTAAGACACTGATAGCGTTTACATTTCACAGATAGGACATACGTGACAGAGAGTATGTATGTTTGTCCGTTTCACGTGAAATGCAACATTTTTCCACTCTGAATTGGCCTGGTCAATCTGCCCCCCAAAATGTTGACCATCTAGGACAGCAATTTTCAACCAGGGTGCCGTAGAACCCTTGGATGTCACTGCCACAAGACATCTCTGGAAGTACCATGAGAGAAATTAGGTTATACATATTTTAACCAACAACCGAAAAAAAAAAAATATAGAGTCTTTCATACTCGCTCGCTTCACCCACTAACAACATTTAGAAACATGATGATTTCAGGCATTTTTAGATTGTAATCCTCATAGGTTCAAACTTACCAAATGCTGGCGGCTTAGTGGCTACAGTCTTTAGCTGAACGGTTCTTCCTGGGGCAACTTCTACCTCTCGTACGTAGCCAACCTAAATACATGTACAGCAACATAGATCAAAACACAGATATAAAAGGAGTGTGGGCGGTACCTCTGTAATCAAATGTAATGCATACGTCTTTGTAAAGTGAGTTATGTCGAATTATTCCATTCAACTGTCACGAATACATTTACTTCAATAGCCAGAATACGAATTGCATATATTACGTTTTGTTAGGTAGGGCATGTTCTAAAGTCTGTCCTACGTAGCAACAAATAATACATGCAATTCGCATTCTGATTATTGGAATACAATTAATTGGAACAGATGAATGGAATAATTCGTATCAAGGCATTTCACATAGACATGTGAATTTTAATGCATGCATTCAATTGGTCACATTACGATTTTCATTATTTCTTGTCAAACAGGTAGAGATAGTCAATGTATGTGTGTGTGTTTGTGCCTCTGTATGTGTGTGCATAATCCTGACAATGTTTTAGGCTACTGAGAAAGCAGCGCAGTAGCCCATTTTCGTAATGTAATCACATGTAATGCATAAGTCTTTGTTAAGTGTCTTGTTACAAATTACTTCGTTTACCTGTTACGTTACAAAATATTTTAGTTGACCTGTTACAATGGTTATCTTATTAGTCAAAATGCGTATTGCATACTTTACGTGTGGTTAGGTAGGGCAAGGACAGTGTTTGTCCTACCTAGTAAATATTAATGTAGGCCTACATAATTCGCATTCTGACTGTTGAAATACGTTTATTTATAACAGGTGAATGCAATAATTTCTAACATTGCACTTAACAAAGATTTGTTCGTTAAATTTGATTACATTACGAAAATTGTTAAATTTTACAATTTAATAAATTATTCATAATTATGACGAAAAATTGCAACCTACAAAAATATATGCATATTTGAAGTTATTGAAGTTGGAATATGAAGGGAAACAATGTTTTTCCTTCGCATTCAGAGCGTTCGGGCACCATGTAAGGCTTGGTAAAAGGGCACCTGGGCCCATATTCATAAAACCTTACTAAGCCAAGTTTTCAACTATGTAGTAATTAGTTGACAACTATAGCTACAACTATAGCTTAGGAAGATTTTATGAATATGCTAGATATGGGCCCTGGATTGTCTTGCAGTACCTTAGTCATACTGCAAACTCGACTCCAAAACTGACTCCACACCACTTTCCCTTGCCATGCACTCGTTGTAAGATTAGGGACTTTTAGATTTGCACGACGAGAACGTAGACTGATATGTGTGACATCCTTTTAAGGCTATGTGACGTCCTTTTAGGGTACTGCCGGGCCCTGCCAGTGCCTTAAAGGTAATTTTATGTCCCATTTGCAGACCCAAAAAATGAAAAGGTTAAATTCCAACGGCATTTGAAAGATAATACTAATTTAGAACTTCCCTAAAAAAAGGTGGGGCTTGAAAATGTCTTCATTTGGGAAAATAATGACTCTTAGTTGTCAAATCGACTTAGGAGCTATAGAGCCAATAAGTAATAGTCTTGATTTTCAGACCATTGTACCGAATGGTCATACGATTTATGCTGCGCATAGATTCAATCAGTTTAATTTGGGCCATCACAAGATGTGGGTTATTGATGTAGACAATTAATGATCATGTACCCTTTACAGCTCAGTTTATGTATGTTATTATCAGAGAAGAAAAAAAGCCAGTCAGTCACTTAATATTGTCTGACAGTGAAGTCTAGCAAGTAAACGGGTTTCCTTGCATAATTTAAATATCAGGACACTGCTAACGTTTACATTTCACAGATAGGACATACGTGACATATTCACAATTCTTGCAAAGTTCTACAGAATTTGACGTTGGCTGCAAAAGGGACATAGTACCTTTAAAGGACGTCATATTTATTAAAATGATGTCACACGTGGCAGTCCATGTTCATATTGCTCCGGTTGTCTCATTTTCGCTCGCCAGCACAAACGTAGCTAGTTCGAAGGCACTACCAAACTAGAATGTTCCACTATGTTGCAGGGTGTATGCCATTGGGTGAACGGGTGTGCGGAAATGGTGTGTTGGGGAGGGGAAGTGAGAGTGTTCGTGTGTGTGGTAATTGTATGTGTGTCAACAATTAAAGACTAATAATGACAGATGGCTATTCATCAATCTACAATGACGAGTAAACTATCGATTTACATCACAGTCCACAGATAAATGTGCCTTATTTAGCAGACGGCAATCGGCGGATCAGACGACACTTGATATTGATTTAGTATGTGAGATTGCTTTGCTAAATATAAAATACAAGAACCTTTTCCATATCTTTAAACTATTATTGATTTCTGATATTTAAATAGTTAGTGAAATAAACCTACCAAACTACATAATACAATGAAATACTTGACTTAAAGTAGGGGAGTTTAATGTGGTGCAAAATTGCACCCCTCTGTAAATAATCGAATAGTCCATGGCAATCATGAATATTCATGTTTTTGCTTACCTCAGCAAAATGATTCTATACTAAATGGAAAAATTACGATGGGGGGGGTGGCTAAAATGGACATAGTGAACCATTCAGAACTCATCTATGATAATTCATGCTTGTTATCCTTCGTGTGCTTGACCTATAACCTTACAACCGCGTGGCAAATTGCGTCCAAAGTTCGACTTGTTTCATATGTGTTATATAGGCAATAGTTCGTCGTGCAAATCTAAAAGTCTCTATTAGCGTAATTACAGGGAACACGGTGGGACACGATGGGATACGTCCCCCCCCCCCCCCTCCAATCGAGTGGTGAAACGGTATCTAAGCATGTTATACCTCGAAACCCCTACCCATTAGGCCCAAAAAAAATGTTTGGTTGTCCTCGATTGCTTTTCTGGAGTAGGGGCGGGTGGGCGGATTTGTTTTTTTGTTTTTTTTTTAATAATTGTTTTTCTATAAAAAAAAATCATTGGGATTGTCAAGCATTTAAACAAACAAATTCTATAAAACACTTTAATATGGTACAATGAATATCAAGACCAACACAGAAAGTATTTTGGGCTTTGAAATACAGCACTTTTTAAATCTCCATTGTACTACTTATAGCTACTTGCGCCCTCTATGTAGCAAACAATGCCTAATCGGTGACCATTGGTCCCCCATGATCCACTTTATTTTATATTAACTGAGAGCTGATTTGATGAGATAACCACCTGTCCAGTGACCTTGCAGGGTGGTCTAATCCCTCCTGTAAACTAGTACAGATGGGCTTTAGAATGAGTTTAAGAATGCTCAGAACCTGATTTGAATGAACGGCATTTTGACATAGAAAAATCAAAATGGCAAGGTTAATAAATACCTAATTGCGTACTGAAAAGACCAAACTGGCAACGGGACGCATTTTGATCCTTGCAAATGCATAAAATGGTATGTTTGGCATTTAAGATTGCTACCCAAAAAAAAAAAAAATATATATATATATATATATATATATATTTTACAAAATAAAAAATACGAGCAGCCCGAAAATGACGAGCGGGCGGTCGAGGACAACCAAACGTTTTTTTTTTGTTGGCCTTAACAGGGGGCATTTGGGGGCATTTTTGTCGAAAAAAGACCCATTGTTCACAATTTTCGGGTGTTCTGGGGGTGTTTTTCGGAAATGTAATGGTATTTATGTTTAAAGTGGGACCCATGCTAAGGGATTTTTGTTAAAAAGTTACCCATTCGAGCGGCACACCCCCGTATGTCCTAATATGTGAGTACCCCCCCCCCGAGGTTTTACGGCGTACTTGTACATATTGAACCATATTGAAACCAACCTCGACAGGATCCAACTGATGTAAGGCCGACCTCTCCTCCTCCTCCTCCTCCTCGACCACCGTGTCACGTGTAGCATCCTCTTTGACTGCGACGTCGTCCCCGTCAATTCTTACATCTTCCGTCACCGTGCCGACGTCAATGAAATCGAGGGTGACATCATCAGACGACGCAGCAACCAAGGAAATAGCCGCTATGAAACAGAGCACCAGCGGTGTCGTAATTACAAAGTTGTTGTAAGCCATTTTGCAGATCTTTTCCCCCAACAGTAAGCCTCTTAATGATTGTGGTCTCACAATCATGAGCGAACTCTGTTTAGTGCAAATGCACACACGGGCGCATTATTATGAAGGGCAAACGCAATGGAGCGAATTTCAATCTAAATATATGAGGACACACAAGGCAGTCAGTGCATAAAAAGGGGTCAACCCCCCCCCCCCCCACAAGGATTATGTCAACGTTCACTTTATTTATTGTAAGAAAATATATCTTATCATAATTAAGCAGGTAATATGCATAAATCTTAATGTTGAATTTTACTGTCCAACCCGTATTATGCAATAGCTACAGACCATTTTAGTCATGTACTCTAATGCACATATCTTTGATGAGTGCCTGGTTTACAAGAGCACTTTTTGCAACGCAAAATTGATGTGCACTGACATGCAATGGAAAATGGTAAAGACAATTTGTTACACATTACCATGATGTGTTATGTGTTACCACAATCATTTCATTCACTTGTTACGAATATATGTACTTAAAAGTCAAAAAGCAAATTACATACATTAGTTGTTGCTAGGAAAGACAAACATTAATGCTTGCCCTACGTAACAAAACATGATGTATGCAATTTGCATTCTGACTGTTGAAATACCATTCTTCGTAACAGTAAGTTGATGAAATAATTTGTTACGAGGAAGTTAACAAAAAATTATGCATTGAATTCGATGTAAATATGTTCATTCAGGGCCCCATGGAAGACCACTACTTGTTGGTGAATGGGCTACCCTGTCAAAAGATTAGAAATAAATTATGAAAATGGCCTATTGAAATAGTTTTGGCTGTACTGACGTCAAGCCTTGGAGTGCATACTATTGTTCATGTCCACACACGTAGCAGCGCCTTGTTACACATCATGAACAGACGTTTTGGTCCAATGCATTTGCTAAATGAGAGATTTTGTGATAACTTTATGAATACAGCCAAATAGTTTTGACCGTATTGAGATCACATAGACGAATGATATGATTTGCTCTACAGGTTGACTATATCAGTCTGTGTATTCTCCATCTACACCCTCTACACACATTGATTTTGTGTATACAGGTACACCGTATCAGTGGCGTACGCAGGATTTTTTCAAGAAGGGCGTTTTAGAAAATTTGAAATCGCGTCGATCGATATTTCGCTCAGTGGGGGAGGAGTGGGGGGGGGGGGGGTAAGGAGTATTCATTTTCTTTCCAAAAAAAATTGAGGGGGGCTTAACCCCCAAAACACCCCCCCCCCCCCTTCCCTGCGTACGCGCCTGCACCGTATTATGAAATAAGTATTGATGTAAAGCATAAGTTTAATTATATTTCTTTAGAAAATCAACGGGTAATGTTTCGATAATTTGTTGCAGGCTTATCCTTTTGAATGATGGTCCACGTCAAGACAAAACGAATGGTAACACATGACAATTACCATTCTCCATCGCATCGTGTTAGTGCAAATTAATTTTGCGTTGCCATGAAATATAATGGCCCTGGGCCCCGCCCCCCCCCCACGCGACCCCCCCCCCCCCCCTTTCGGCAAAAGTCCGGTGTGTAAAGTCAATACGGAACGACCTTTTCAATTTGTTATACGAGACTTGTTCAGCAACCCCCCCCCCCCCCCCCTCCCCCTTCAGCAAAAGTCCGGTGTGTAAGGTCAACACGGGTAGACCTTTTTCTTTTGTTACAAGCCGGAGAGTTTGGGAACACGCATGGTATCCCTTTGTTCACAGAGAGGGGGCGGGCCCTGGGTTGCAAAAAGTGCTCTGGAATAGCAAGCACGATTCCCAACTGCATAGTAATTTTCATTATTGGTTACCTGTAATAATCAAAATGTACAACATTTATTCAAAGTAGGCCTGTACGTTTCGAAAGAAAAGTGTTCAACAAATTTGCATGACACTTCCTACAAATAAATTAGACATCGTTAAACTTTAAAGTGTACATACGGTTCAACACGAATCCCATTTTTGTAAGTTATCGATGATCAAATTTGTTTAATACTTATTAATGTTTACAAGTACAGTTCGATGTCTTTATTACTTCCTTCACTCACGTTTCCTTGCTCCAAATCCTTGTTACCACCAGTCCATTCTCTCCCGCCTTCTCTCTCTCTCTCTCTCTCTCTATTTCACTTTCTTTCTTTTTCTCTCTCCTCTCCTCCCTCTGTCTCTCCCTCTTTCTTCTCCTCCTCCCCTCTCTTTCGTTTTACCTCCCTTCGTCCCCCTCTCCCTATTTTATCTCACTATCTCTCTCTCTCTCTTCTTATCTACTCCGACCCTCGCGATTTCTCCATTTTCCAACATGTATATCTCCATTACCCTCTTCTCTTTCACTATCTCTACTCTCTCTCTCTCTCTCCCCCCCCCCCCCCCCCCCCCCCCCCCCCCCCCCCCCCCCCCCCCCCCCCCCCCCCCCCCCCCCCCTCCCCCCCCCCCCCCCCCCCCCCCCCCCCCCCCCCCCCCCCCCCCCCCCCCCCCCCCCCCCCCCCCCCCCCCCCCCCCACCCCCCCCCCCCCCCCCCCCCCCCCCCCCCCCCCCCCCCCCCCCCCCCCCCCCCCCCCCCCCCCCCCCCCCCCCCCCCCCCCCCCCCCCCCCCCCCCCCCCCCCCCCCCCCCCCCCCCCCCCCCCCCCCCCCCCCCCCCCCCCCCCCCCCCCCCCCCCCCCCCCCCCTCTCTCTCTATCTCTCTCTCTCTCTTTTCTCTCTCACTTTTCCCCTCCCTCTCTCCTCTCCTACTTCGATTCTTTCTCCCATTTCGATTCTTCTCATCTTTTTTCTTTCCTTTTTCCTTGTCATCTCCCTAATATCCTATGTTTTATTTTCGATCTTTTCATCTAAAGTGGCATATTTTGTGGTCTAGACACAAAGGTCTGTGGTTAATTTATTGAATATGCAAGGATAATAATATGCACAGTAGCAAATACAAGTCAACCATGAACAGCAATTGTAAACAAATACAACTGGCAATATGATATTATGCTTCTGTAAATGTCCTCAAAGAAATGGTAAATGTTATACATATCGTCAGTAGAGGGCGGCATTAGACTTATGATAATTTCTTGTTATGTGAATTTATGAGGAAGGAAATATATATATATTTTTGTTTTAATAAAAAAATTATGAAATCGAAGCAAAATGCATTTTGCTTCCAAGATTGGCACAGTTGGTAATACAGGTAAAGGCTATCTGTAGAAAAACAATTTTGAATAATGTAAAACCCATCGAGATGACTGATGGATACGTGTACATGAAATGTATGTAATCATTATCATTATGCATCGCTGGTACATTATGACACACAGTTGGAAGTACTGATTCTTATCAAGAGAGCAAACAAAAGGTATTCATGAAGGACGTACCCATCTCTTTGACAGTGATTATTCTTAAATGCACATAATGAGACGCCTCCATGTGTAACAGCTAGACCTGTAGATATTTGAGAGTCATGTGTATACAAGTGCTATCCCCGAAGTGACTTATCAATTAAGCAATCAAAACAAATAATTGTATTTTAAATAGTCAGAATGCAACTTGCATGGCCATAATAGTTGTCCTTCCTAGCAACAACTAATGTATACAATTTGAATTCTGACTGTTGAGATAATTTATTCGTAATGGTGAATGAAATACTTTGTATCGAGGCGCTTTACAAAGACATATGTATAAATTTGGTTACATTACGAAAATTGCCTGATTTAGGTTTATGCCTCAGTCACACTTTTGCGTATTTGGCTTGCGTATTGCTGCGTATTTATGGCAAGCCGTTTTAACATTTATTCCTATTTCTTGATATCAAGAAATGATTTTCTGTTGTAAAGCAATGGTTATTCTTGATATCAAGAATTGAATTCTTGGTATCAAAAATTCGATTTCTTAGTATCAAAAATTCGATTTCTTGATATCAAGAATTCATTTGTTGGTATCAAGAAATATGAATAAATGTGAAAACGGCTTGCTATGTGTCCAGGATTAAAGTTGGGAATTTTACATAATAATTGACGGAGGAACAATAATATTGTCTCAGGGCGTTATGTTGTACAATCTAAAATATATATTACTCTTTTATGAAAGGCCATGTTATTATATGAATCTTCTAACAACCAATGCCCAAAATCCTTGAGCAGGAAGGGGGAGGGGTGATGTGGTTTCATTACGTCCAATCCAGTGTTTTCTGTGTAGTACAGCATACACATTATAATATCTTTGATTTGAAAGACATTGTCCAAATTGTATTACCAATAATTGGTGCCAAGAAGTGTCAGTATGATTGCTCTTTTCAGGTGGAAGGTGCCCATAATACGTGTTTTGTTTGTTTGTTATTCAATTTATTTGCAATTCAAAGGAATCGGAATGGACCACACCCCCGTGCCATGTATATAAGCATCAAAATTAATGCTGGATATAGCAGACGGTACTCAATGGATAATTTGGATTCGGTGACAAAGTTGAAAATCTTATTAAACGTAAAGTTTTTCATAATTTCGTAATTAATCACCCTTTCTATTTTAATGTAATAAACGTTTTATACAGCAGATCACGTGACAAAATGTGATGGGTTTTAAAAAAAATTACTTAAAGGTCATGAGTTGTCAGTGGATGTATGGCTTTAGTATTGTTAAAAGGGTTTTAATAACTACTTAAGACAAATAATGTAATTATATCTAACAGAAACCATTACAAGCAAATCAGTAATTATTAAATAATTGTAACGCCTTACTACAGTACTGCCAATTGTCCATAACTATGTCTAGATCTAAAAGCAAATTTAAAAAAAATACAATTCCTCAAACTTTCCACCATTATCTCAGGATTATTTGAGAGATAGAGAGAAAGAGAGAGAGAGAGAGAGAGAGAGAGAAAGAGAAAGAGAGAGAAAGAGAGAGAGAGAGATCTGTTTAATGTTAATAAGCGTCGAAATCGTCATCATCTCCTTCTGTTGAATCCATCCCTACTTCTTCATAGTCCTTCTCCAAAGCAGCCAGATCATCTCTTGACTCCGAAAACTCTCCTTCCTCCATGCCTTCTCCGACGAACCAGTGGACGAATGCTCGCTTGGCGTACATCAGATCGAATTTGTGGTTGACACGCGCCCAGGCAGAGACGATGGCCGTGGTATTGCTAAGCATACAGGCACCCCGTTGAACCTTTGCCAGGTCACCACCAGGAACGATTGAAGGAGGAGTACTGTTGATGCCGACCTTGAAACCTGTAGGGCACCAGTCAACGAACTGGATGGTACGCATGGTCTTGATCTTACTGATGGCTGAGGCAATGTCTTTAGGGACAATTTCTCCCCGATAGAGCAGGCAACAGGACATATACTTGCCTTCGCGAGGGTCACACTTCACCATCTGGTTCCCTGGTTCGAAGCAAGAATTTGTGATTTCAGCCACGGAGAACCTCTCATGATGGGACTTCTCCTGGGACACGATCGGGGCAATGGTTGATAGGGGAAAGTGTATACGCGGGTAAGGCACCAAGTTTGTTTGGAACTCTGTTAGGTCAACATTGAGGGCGCCTTCGAATCTCAAGGACGCAGTAACTGAGGATACCACCTGGCCGATTAAACGGTTGAGATTTGTATACGTCGGGCGTTCTACGTCAAGGTTTCTATGGCATATTTCGTAGATGGCTTCGTTGTCAACGATGAAGGCGCAGTCAGAATGTTCAAGAGTACTGTGCGTTGTCAGAATGGTGTTATAGGGCTCGACGACGGCCGTTGAAACCTGGGGCGCAGGATAGATGGCGAATTCTAGCTTGGTCTTCTTTCCGTAGTCCACCGACAGGCGCTCCATGAGCAGGGAGGTGAACCCCGAACCTGTCCCGCCTCCAAAGCTGTGAAAGAGCAGGAACCCTTGAAGACCTTCGCAGTTTTCAGCCAGTCTCTTCACTTGATCCATCACTTTATCGATGACATCTTTACCGTTAGAGTAGTGACCTCTTGCGTAATTATTTGCGGCGTCTTCATTGCTGGTTATCATCTGTTTCGGGCGGAACAGGTCCCGGTACGTACTGGTGCGAATTTGATCTGTGATATCAGAAGAATTCAGTTATAATTGATTTGAATTAAAGGGCCACTCTAATCGAACCGGGCTATAAAAAAATAAAGAAAAAACATGTAAAATAATTTTTGACGGAGATTCCGAACATGACAATGATTTTTCTTAGAAATCATCAGTAATTCTGGAATCTAGCTTGAAAAATGACGACTCAGAACGCGCAGGAAAAAAGCCCAGTTTCGGTGATGACGCATTTGACGTCACTGCAGGCGCCTCTCCGGTGAAAAGGAGTGTGATTTAGGCATTAAAATGTCTATTAATTGAGAAGAAGAACAAAATTATCCAAAATATAATATGCACTTGATAATCCCATTACGCTTCTGGCAATTTCGTCATTCCTAATTATGAAATTATGAAATTATCAAATCGGTCATGGCCGCAATGACGTCAAATGCGTCATCAAGCCACATGACCGTAATACATTTTTTCAAAGGGTGTAGCCCAGAAAGCGTGAGAACTGTGAAAATGGATGGCTATTATCAATTTTTGGTCAATTAAGAGACTTTCTGAAAAATCAGAGGCTGGAATATTAATAAGTAGAGGTGTATTCATGTTTTGAAAGGCTATGCTAGTTGGGTTAGAGTGGCCCTTTAAAGGGCGTTAACCATATTTTAACTCTGAGTAAAATTGTATGAGTTCAGATATTGCTAGGAAAAGTGTCCAATAGAGAGTAGGGAAACCCTTCTCTCAAAATTTAAAGAATGTGCAAGAAAAAAATTACCTATGACAGTCGGCTCAAGATCGACAAATATAGACCGGGGGACATGTTTACCAGACCCCGTCTCACTGAAGAACGTGGTGAACGGTTTCACCTCGTGGGGCCCGTCGTCCTCGTCGACGTCGCTCATCGTCTTCGTGGTGGTGCTGTCATCGAGCAGCCGCCCATCGGGCTGAATGCCGTGCTCGATGCAGTAGAGTTCCCAGCAAGAGTTGCCCATCTGGACCCCGGCCTGCCCGATGTGTATTGAGATACATTCTCTCTGGCAACAAAAACGGATGACAAAGTAACGATATTAATAATAATAATAATAACAACAACAATAGTGATGATTAGGATGTCAGTACTAATGATGATGATAATAATGATAGTAATAATGTTAATGATAATAATAATGATAAAAATATGCATATCAATAATGATAATCAATTACAATTAGCACTAAGCACGTGAAATTGTATTTATAATTACTGCGGTCACTCGATCCAATTTCTAATCCGCCGCATATTATATCGCACACGTTCTACTCGACGGGAAGGGGTGTGGGCATTCGGCCAGGCACCATTTTACAGAACCTTAATTGATAAGGTAACGTGCCGGGATAAAAAAAAAAAAACGACCCTCACAGTCTTTAATTAAGCCACTCGACTAAGGCATCTCTACAAATCAAAACAGATAGGTGGTATCGATGAATGGTGTACAAATATATGAACGCACAAGCTTGTGCATGAGCTAGACTCCAACTTTCATAAAAATAAGCTCAATACGATCGCGCAGACTTTCGAGAAATCAACTCAAGGGCGATTTAAATACCCTAAAGCCTATGTCCTCGAAGTCCATACAAGCCACATTTTACGCAACCGTGATCATTCCTAAAATCATTGCTTTTGTGTAAAGCATGATATCTTTTTTTTTTAAATAACGTTTATTGGTCACTTACCTGTTTTCTAGACGACATTTTTTCGGGATTCAACAGCAAATTTGCAACAGCTATAGTTTCTGATCAAGTCCGGGCTACAATCGAATTTCAAGTGTGTCAAAAAAGGATCCCAGTCATATCATAAAATAACCTGTGGAATAAAATTATTAGTATGAAAGGATTAAAATTACCTCAAGTTACATATATGTAGACAGAGAAAAGAGAGAGAAAGAGAGAGAGAGAGAGAGAGAGAGAGAGAAATGATTTTGACGCGGTGACACGACATTTGCTCCTGCGACAATTGCTCCGGGCTTTATTTCGTCTAAGATGTAGGGTTAGGGTTAGGGTTTCAATAGGGTTTTATGTTAGGTTTAGGGTTAGGTTTAGGGTATGGTATAGTGTTGAATCCAGGGTTGAAGTTAGCCATTCGATTAGTATATGAAATTTACAGCGGAGCAATTGTCGCCGGAGCAAATGTCATGGAATCTTTTGACGCATAACAATGTGTTCCTTTAGCCTCGGTCACAAATGCCATTACGAACGCCGTTTGAACGATTTTCAGACCATGGACATTCGGGAAGACCATGGAAAAACAGGGAGATTCGTACGAACGCATCGTTCGTTCGAACCTTTGTGAACGTATAGCTTAAAGTATAATGAATTATTACATAAGATATCCCTACGGGCAAAATCTTGATAAAATAATGTTGTTGTTATTTGTAAGGAGCTTCATTTTTTTCCTCACTTTTTTCAATGTTTGTTTCACCTGATCTAAGAAATCATGTAAAGGCTTGTAGGTAAACCACCAGGGGACCGACGGCTGTAGAACAAGAAATTCGGAGTTTTTAGAGTGTATAAAGATCTGGACGGATTGAAATAATTTATCTAAGTAATATTGTACTGTGGATCAGAGCCATGAAGACAATGAAAGAAAAGGAAAAGACTTTCGAAGCAATACGTTCACTCATGGGCGACCAATTAACCGAGTGCTTTGAGAACTGGTGTTATATGTAGAGAGGGTCACTATCCGAGGGGGGGGGGAGTACTCAGATTTTGTTTAGACGGGGGTGTGCCGTTCAAGCCTCGAAACCTCTACCCATTTTTAAGGGTCATTTGGGGGGAATTTTCTCGAAATAAATATTTAAAAAATTGAAATTTTGAAAAAACGGACCCATGTTTAGTGATATTTTTGTTAAAAATGAGTTTGAAAAGTTTAGATTAGGCCCATGGCTTCGTTGTTTTTGTTTAATTACCATATAGAGCCCAAAGGAACGCTCTACTAAATCTACTGCAACTTATCCCTAAAATTAACCCTATACTCTTTATCTTTGATGAAGTAAGGCCCAGAGCAAGACTAGTGTCACCGTTAGATCCCTTTGTCAACAGCATTTAAAAAAAGATCAATAGCAGACTGGTAATAAACTGGATATTTTGCTTTTTTATGTATAAAAAATTAATCAGGATGATACAACTGCCAAAGCCTGGTAAATGGCATACAGTTTTCGAACAGCTGTGTTGGATTCATAACAATAGTTCCAAGTAATTGAAGGTCAAACTCAAAATTGCTAACAATGCTCTGGGTGTATTTAACAGTCTACTATTCATCAATAGTGGCTGGAGGTTATTTTTTATTTGTTTTCGATGAATTTGTCTTTGTGCGGTATAAAATTTCTGTCCTTTCATAATTATGTAAAGCTGAAAGGTAGTAGATGTACGTATTTACAACATAGACCTACTGCTTACAAGCACAAAGCCTCTTTATTTTTTAATCTAAGTTAAATTGGTCAAATTTTAAACACCTTTAATCGTGGAATTATATATCGCAAGGTTGTCATATGTCCTTTTGTCTTCCTTTTCATTCTTTCATTTCCATTTATTGATAGACAAATCCTAGTGAAGTCAAAACGATCAAAAGATAGTTGTAGTTCAATATCTTCACCAAAATTGACAAGCAACACAAATGAAGATTGGAAGTGAAGCAGAATCATTACATTGCACGTCAGATTGATGATAAACGTAAAAGATTATTGTAAAGTGAAGACAGAAAAAGATCAAATACAGTACGTAAAATGGTACACCTGGCGAAGGCGACAGAGAGAAGAGAGAGGAAGAGGAATGATTTTTTATTTGTAAAACTATTGCGAAATCTTAGAACTTTGTATTTGAATTTATCAGTTTATTTATTCGTTTGAACTTCCCTCTAAAATGTCGGTAAATTACTAAAAAAAATTCAAGGTTTGCCCAACATACCAGGAACTAAAAACTGTATTTTGTTTAATTCTGAAACGGATTAGTTCCCTCTTGATTCGATCGGAATAGAGATGCTCTCATGCATTAGAGGGTATATATTCCTTGATTTACTCAACAAATAACTGTTTCAAGAAGGTAATAACATCCGCCATAAAAAGAATCCAACAAGGTGATTGGCCAATTGCCCCGTCAATTGCGCATCACGTGGCAAGAAATAATTCACATGGGCCTTTTAAATGGCGTCACATATCGATCCTTGTGCAATAGAACTATTCACAGATACTACACATGGCGTATGAAATCACACACAATATTTATGCGAATACTGCATTGAAGCGTCACAAATGCCTAAGATAAAATAATGTTTCATCTTCAACCAAAATATGCGTAACTAAGGGCAATCAAACCCTTGTAATAAGTTCATTTGAATGAAAGCAGAAAAATAAGAGAAACGGAATGGCGAAGGTTGGAAATAAATCGGTCCAATAATAAGGAGTTAAGTTATGAAGGTTTGAGATATGAGATCACTACAGCTATGTGAATCTCAAATTGGCAATGTTGTCAGTGGATTGTGACGTAGAGACGGATAACTCTCCCGTTCCTCGTGTACAAATACATATACAGTGCGTATAGTGTACACAACTTTGGTAGCTCCTAATTATAAAATCATAACAAATATGACCTTGAGATCTATTTATTGATGAAAGGTAACTTGATTTCTGTCCGATGATACCCTATTTATAATATATCTGCCACGGATGACTGAACACCAGGGTTCTTAAAAGTTTTACCAAAATCGCCTTGTAGTTTGGGCTGATAGAACGAATGTAGGTCAGCTAGGCAATATCCATGTGTTTCTTCGTTCTTAAATCCATTTAAGTGTTAAATTATGTCTCGTGCTTCAGTGCTTAATTGTTTAAAATAATCCAATGTATCTAGGCTTTCACGGAACCTTGTTTCAGTCCATATGATAACCTTTGATTATTTTGAACAGCCTACTAACTGCTTATTGTCTCATGATATCTAAGTTGTCTCTGCATGCCAGTGTCTGCTGTTTAACACGCCGAAAAGGGAGCATCGGGTGGTTATATCTCGAATAGCGAAAGAGAACTCAAAGGTTACTAAAACCAAACGCAACTGAAAGAACACATAAATTGACAGCAGACTTTCGTAAAAGAGATAGCATCCGAAATAAATTTTTAGCTATTTTTGTATCACTCATTGACAAGAATAACCTTAAACAAGAGATACGAATGAAGTCAAGATTGTAATCATCATAACGAAGAGAATATCATAAATTGTGTTTGTAATAAGCATTTTTTTTTTAGTTTGAGTTGATATTATCCCTCTTCTTTTCACATACCTAATAGTCGATGTAAATATTAAGTGAGCAATTGCTTTTGGAATGAGATAACAGACACATAATGGCTTTTGACCAACATTTATTGCTTCAGTCCGAAACGTGGTACAAGAGGATTTTGACAATACTTTTTGAAAACTCGTCCGTAGCAGTACAATTATGAATATGGTATCATCAGACAGGGTATTAGTTACTCTTTACCATGAACTATATTCCAAGGTTATATAGGTTATAACTTTTTAATTAGAAGCTACCAAAGTTGGGTACACTTCTTATTGATTCGCACTGTATTTCAATAATTTGTTTTTCTCCCAAGTGTCTTCATCCTTGGTGCACTACTCAAAGTATATGTAATATTAATAATTAGCCGAGGTAAAATCTCCCGGCTCATCCTCATAATAACCATCATTTTCAAATAACACCATATGGTGGCATTGAATATACATTTCACTCAAGCATTCTTTCTCACCTTAAGTCTCGGTCACAAATGCCATTACGAACAGCTACGAACGCCGTACGAACGATTTTCAGACAATGGAAATTCGGGAAGACAATGGAAAAACAGGGAGATTCGTACGAACCTTTGTGACCGTAGCATAAGGTAATAAGAAATTCAATCAAATGGTAGAACAGATTAGCTAATTTTACCATGAATGTAGCGGAAGAAAAATAATAACTATATTATGTGTTAACATATCCGTACAGGAGGAATACCATTTTATTCTAG